CGCGGGCCCCTGGCGCGGGAGGCGCGTCCCCCCGGCGCCCCGGCTCACAGGGCTCGTAGTAGTCATAGACCGTGACCTGGGCGGCCTGCAGGAACTCCGCCTGCAGCATCCTGTGGACGCGGAAGCCCAGCACCGTGTTTTCCTCGTGGGAGAGCTGGGGAAGGGCGTCCGCACTGAGCTGGCCCGGGCACTGACCGTCGGGCACTGCCCCCGGGGCCGCTCCTAACCGCTGACCACACGCGCGGCCTTCGCTGGGAGGCGCTGCCGCCAGATGGCATGGCCGTCTGGCAACACCGCCCAGGAGAACCTGGCTGACCGGGGTTCTCTGCCCACCAGGATGCTCACAAGCCTCACCTTATCCAGGTAAAGGACAACGGTACTGTCGCTGGATTTCGTCTTGGTCTCGTACTGGAAAGCATACATCTCCACGTCGCTGGTGAGCTGGGCACAGGGTGAAGAGTGCTAGCTAGAGACCCCCAAGGCCCGCAGCCCTAGGAGCTCCAGGCAGTGTGAGGTAATTCTCAGAACTCCTAGTCTTTGTCTAATCAACCTCAGTGTTGGGGAAACTGAGGCACAATTACGGCAAGGATTTGGCTAAGGTCAGGGAGGGAGATAACCAGAAGTGACCAGGGGGCACTGGCAAGGGGTAGATTCTGCCCTGGGACAACACTGGGAGTATGGGCTATTGCCAGGGCACCCCATCCTGCTCAGCAGTGGGCAGGTGGGACTTATATTACCTGTTTGAGGTCATCATGATGTGGGTAAAAGCCGGTGAGCAGGGAAACCTCCATGATGGTCATTGTGGCCTCTCGATCACCCAGGAACCTGGGAATTTCACAGCTCGTCTCTCTTCCTCCGGCCTCCCCTCCCCCCATGCTTCCACTGCCATCATCTCTCCCATGGACCAGTGCAGTAGCCTCCTCCTGGGTCTCCCCATCACTCCTCTGCCCTCAAAAGCATACAGCTTTAACAAACAGGAATCAGATATGTCCCTTCCTTGCCTAACAACCTTTACCAAACACCTTGTCTCACCCTACCACCTCACCTTCTCCCATCCCAGCCCTCATTTGATTGCTCTTAAGTTTCAGTCTCTCTCTTGCCACTGGACCTTTGCACATGTTGTCCTCTCAGCCTGGAACCCTCACTTCTCCCTCTTTACCCTGAAACATCCCTTCACTTTTGCAGTCTCAGCTGATGTATCACTCCCTCTGGTAAGCCTTTTCCAGTCTGCTCGCTGGAGCATTCTCTGACTTGCCCTCCTGTAGCTTCTTGGACCTTTCCTTTGCCACATTGAATCACAGTTGTCACTTTACATTGATTCTGGGTGATTATTTGGTTATTGTCTGTCTCCCCTGGTAAGCTGTCAGCTCCACCAGGCAGGGAGGGGCTGCCTTGCTCACATCTGTGCCCCCAGCTCCTAGAACAGAGCCTGACACTCAGCAGGTGCTCAATGCATGTTTTTATCTGGGAGAGGACATTTGGGAGACAGAGCAAGACTGGACTGGGTGCTGGAGTGTTGAAAGATGATGAAGGGTGAGGAAGAGCCATGGGGCTTGCAGCCAGCTCTGGGTATCTGGGGCATGTTCATTGTCATAGAGCCCACAATCCCAGCACATGGCAGGAGGGGGCTGGATGGTAGACAAGCATGGGAGGGCAGGGTAGGAGGCAGAATGGGGGGTATGCAGGGGAGGGCAGGATGGGAGGTAAGATGAGGGGACAGGCATGAAGAGGCAGGCTTAGCTGGTTCCCACCCTCCAATTAGGACACAGGGAGAGCTGCTAAGGAATCTGGATACCAAGAAGTGAGGCCTTCTTTTCCCCCAATCCAAGATCCTGGTGCCCTGACCTTGTTTCCATCCGGAGTTGAAAGGTCTCTTTCCCTTTTTTATTTTCTGCAGAGAGAAGGCAGAAGTTTAGAGGCTGCTTAACACAGCCTCTGGAGCTAGCTTTCTGGGTTCAAATCTTGACTCTTCTGTGTGACTTAGGGCAAGTTGCTTAACCTCTCTGTGCTTTGGTTTCCTAATCTGATCATAATATTCCCAACCCACTAGGATTGTTGTAAGGATTAGGTGAGTTAATACGAGTAAAGCACTTAACACAGCATCTGATATATGCTTTATAACTGTCAATTATTATTATTATTATTATTATTATTATTATTATTATTATTATTATTATTACATATCAAGAAATGGGGCCCAAACCAAAGCCTTAAAAGTCCTGGGCCTGGTGAGATTTGTTCCTCCTGCTCCTAGCTCCTAATGGCAGTGTCCTCTCTCCTCCTTCTTGGTCCCCCAGACTGGGAACTCTAGAATCCCACCATTTCTGATCATATCCACAGACCCCAGCATCTTCCACCGGACCAGTGCATTCAGCTCCTCCTTAGTCTCCCAGCTCCTACCCTTGCCCTCTGCTGTCTGTTTCCCTCACAGCCACCAGAGGGAGCCTATGCAAACCCGTGCTAGGTCCTATCCCTCCTCTGCTCAGAAGCCTCTATGGCTTCCACTGCACTCTGCCCAAACACTGAAGTCCTCACCGTGGCTCACAAGCTCCTGCACCATGTGCTTCTGTCACCTCTCCAACTTTTTCTCTTAAAACTGTACCTCTTGCTTCTCTGTAGCCACACTGACCTTCTCGCTGTTCCTTAAACCATGTGAGCTCATTATTGTCTTGGGGCCTTTGCACCTGCTGTTCTGCCTGCCTGGAGAGTTATTCTCTCAAATCCTTCATGGCTCACCCTCCAACTTCTTTCATGTCTCAGCTCAAATGCTACATCCTCAGAGAGTTTCTCCTGGACCTCCTCCAAGTCTGTGTCATTTCTTCCTGCTTTAGTTTATATGATACTTACAGCCAACTGCTATTATGCTAGTTATTTTTAATAATGTAGATTCATTTATGTTATAAATAAATAACAGGAGGAGAGTAATATATTTTTATTGTTGTATCATTGCTTGTCTCTCTCCACTATAGGAGAAGAGGGGATATTTTTCTTGTTTATGCCTATGTTCCCAGGGCCGGGAAACAGGGTGTGGCACATAGTAATTGTTCAATAAATATTTGCTGAATGGCTGAATAAAGCAATAAATGTGTTTATTGAACCATAGCTAAAATAAAAAATAAAAAAGAAGGATTGGGCATCCTCAGGTCCAGGCTTACCTTCCAGGGCACTGTGAAGAGTGGCATTCAGGTGATAGAGGTTGCAAGTGTCCTCCCAGGACTCTGGGGACCTGTGGTACATGGTCAGGACCTGCCAAGGCAGGGAAGGTGTCAGAGCCCATCTGTACCCATTCCCTTTCCTCCTCGGTCCAGTCCTTGCCTGCCCAGGTCTCTGCCTCTGTGGGGAATTCACAGTCAAGTCTGTCCCCCTCAATCCCTGAGTGCAGTGGCCAGAATACCCTATAGAGTCTAGACCAGTTCTGTGTAACAGAATCTTCTGCAATGATGGCAATTGTCTCTGCCTGTCCTGTCCACTAGCCACCTGTGGCTACTGAGCATGTGAAATTTGGCTAGTGTGATTGAGGAAATGAATTTTAAGTTGAGTTTAATTTTAATGAATTTAAATTTAACTGAGTCTCAAGGAGAAGTGTGACATGCCCAAAGTCACACAATGATGGGAATTCAACCATGACTGTATTGCTGGAAACAAGAGAACAGGCTGCCTTAAATTTGGTGCACAAGAGGGCTATTCTCCTGGGCCCAGGGCATGGGGCTGGAATATGTAATGGAGCTGCTGGCTCAGATATTGGGCAAGGGCGGAGTTAGCCTCTGGGGATTGGGAAACATCCTGGAGGGAGACTCTTCCCTTGGTGGGGCAAGGAAGGAGACACTTCTTCAGGGACTCAGCATGGGAGGGGCAGAGGGGTCCAATGACTGACCTCTGACCTCTACCTCCTTTGACTTTTGACTCAGCAAGTGAACAACATTTCTGACCCTCTATTTCCCCACCTGTTGCATGGGGTCTTTATTTTTACCAACTTCCCGGAGTAGGGGTGCAGTTGAAGTGTCCTTAGCTTGGTTCATAACAAGTAGCAGTGTCCTAAGTAGTAGCTAAATTTTTTTTGCTGATTTTAATCTTGTCTTGGAGCCTAGACTTTCCTCTATCCCCACCAACTAGGGGGATCCTGGGCTCCAGCTAATGATCTCAGAGATGGGACACCCGACCTACCGAGATGGTGCCTCTCCCGCTGCCACTGGCTTTGATCTCCAAGTCATCTTGAGAAGAAAACTGACGGGAAGAGGGAGGAGGATTTGAGGACAGAGGAAGCAGCAAAACATGGCTCAAATGCAGTGGGGGGTGGGGAGGAAAGACGGTTTTACTTTTCCTTCTTGATAGAGCATTTGTGGTGTCTACTCTGTCACAAATCAACTACAACTGCTGACTCAGGCTGTGTCCTAATGTACATCTCTCCAATCTGTCCACTTTGCATTGTCTCCAAAGTTCCCCATGTGTGAAGCCCCCAGAAGACCTTCTCCCTGGTATCTGTGCATCTACTCTTGTTTCTTTCATGTATTCTTCCCTCATGAGCCAGATCAAAATTTTACAAATTCACATCCAATCACATCACCCCAGCTTAAACCTCATTGCTATTCTTGGGAGACTCCTGCCTCATGGCCTTTGCACCTACTGTTTCCTCTGCCTAGATATCCACAAGGCTCACTCTTTTCTTTCCTTAAGGTCTTTGCTCAAATATTATCTTCTTGGTGAGACCTTCCCAGCCCATCCTATCTAAAATGTCAGCTCCTTGATGTTTCCATCTCCCTTCCTGCTTATTTTTTCCTCATAGCTCTTGCACATTTAACACACTACATATTCTACTTATTCGCATCTCTTTATTGTCTGCCTTCTTCACCAAGATATAAAATTCTACAGGGACAGGGATTTTTTGTCTTGTTAAAGGCCATATTCCCAGTACCTAGAACAATGCCTGGCACACAGTAGTGCTCAATAAAGATGTATCAAATGATTGAAGGTAAGTATCACCTCCTCCATGGAGTAAGGTCATGGACATTACCTTTCTCCATACACCAGCTTATTTTCTCCTTTACATACTTATTTCTTTCCCTTGTTTTAGAAAAGCTTAAAATAGAATATATTTATTTTCTTACTTTCTTTCTTCACTGTAAATTCCATGAGAGCAGGTACCACAGATCTTTTATAATGTACCCCCACTGCTCAGGAGAATGCTTGGCACACAGCAGGTGCTCAGAAAATGTTTGTAGAATAAATGAATCAATCCATTGGCAGTATAGCCAATGGTGTGAGATAATCTTGGGGAAGGAGATTGGCAGGGACATCATTCTTGGCCTCATACCCCATGTCACCTTTGTGTGGAATTCTCGTCTGCCACTGAGTGCCTTACCTTTGCTGACCGCTGCTGGTAAGCATTGTCCTGATTGATGACCCACTCCACGTCCAAGGATCTCTTTGGGGCGCTGATCTGGATGCGGAGATCCTGGGCGCCCTCGAAGGGGACAGCTTGGCGGAAGCGGGTGAGGGCCTCGATGGCCACCACCGTGGTCTGAGTGTTGGAATGGGGGCCTCAGATCAGCACCACAGACAGCGCCCCGGGTGCCGAGCCAGCACCACGGACAGCTCCTAGTGGGCAGCCCGTGGCAGCACCTTGGCTCGCCCCACCCGTACCCCTCC